AAGTGAAATGGAAAAAGGTGAAATGAGCTGATATCTGAAATTAAAAAAAAAAAAGGAAAAAGAGAGAGAGAGAGAAAAAAATGGGTCAAGAAAGGCTGCATGTAATTTATCACTCCAACTCTTGCAGGGTGAGAAAGCTTCAGCCCTGGCTGCAACAGAAGACACTAAGGATGCTGGCAAAACTGATGATCAGTCTGCACTAGGCTCTGGTACACATCCAGATTTGTTTGAGGAGAACTTTAAGGAGCTGAGGAAATGGGTAGATGTCAAGTCCACTAAATATGGGACCCTCTTTGTGCTGCGTGAGAAACGTGGTGGAAGGCTTGGAACTGCACTCAAGGTATTTGTCTGTCGTAGACTTTTCTGCCAGGCTTTTGTGGGCTTAGCGTTTATCCCTTGACAAATGCTAAGTAGAGTGTTTTTCCCCCTTTTTTTTTCATATGTTACAATCTTTTTGAGTTGTTGTATGGCATGATGTTTGATGTGAAAAATTCATTTTACCCGTTACTCCATATTTTTGGATTTATTCAGCCTAACTGTTAATTGTCTCAGGTGCTTAATGACATGATTCAAGATGACAGTGAGCCTCCAAAGAAGAAACTCTATGAAATGAAGCTTTCTTTGCTTGATGAGATTGGGTGGAATCATTTAGCGACCTATGAGAGACAATGGATGCTCGTACGCTTCCCAACTAGCCTGCCTCTGTTTTAAGGTTAGCTCAATTTAACAAGACCACCAGGTCTGTGGTTCCAGGTTTGCTTCATAATCAGACTGAAAATTGAACGAATTGTTTCTTATTATTTTCATAATAAAACAGACATCTTTGTGGAATATATTCTACATCTGAGTCTTGCAATTCCCTTATCCGCCGGAGTAATATAAGTAGAAATTACCCCATAGAATCTTAGGAAGTATGCTACTGCAGCAGCAGCAGCAGCAATTATTATAAAATGAACTTGCTAGCCTAAAGTGGGCGAAATACGAGAGGCAACCCATGCTGGGGCCTCAACGAAAGCAAATGTGAAGGTGAATGACGGTAAGTCGGTGAGAGGGAGAAGGAAAATCTTGTGAGAATTAGGGTTAAGACGACCTTGTACTCCATGGCAGACAAGTTCCTTCCGACGCACATCCTTCCTCCAAACCCAAATGGCAAGAACCCCATCTTGTGCTTGCACCCACCATATATGTCATCCGTGAACCTCTCTGGCCGGAATTCGTTCACATCCTCGCCCCACAGATCCCGGTCATGGTGGATAGCCACCACGTCGATCCACATGTTTGTTCCGTCAGGAATCACAAGATCATCCACCTTGATATCTTCCCTTGCTTGCCTGTGTGCATTTGGCGCCGGTGAGTATAATCGCAAGGCCTCATTCATCACCCTTCCCATCTGCATAAAAATTCAGGAACATTAAAAAAAATAATCTAATTACACACTAGGCATTTTTTTCATGGAGCATGGGGTTCTAAATTTCTAATCTCCTTTCTCTCCATATAGCTTGAGGTAATCGTCACTTTCCAACTTCCAAAAATGTTGTGACAATAAAAAAAAAGTTAGAGATTATAAGAATTTGTTGTTTTACAAATTATCTTACAATATAAAAAAAAGGTGAAAAGTAAAATATTTGGATATAAAAATATTAAGATATTTAATTTTAATTATATAATAAATCAAATTTAAAGTAAAATTTAGATTATATTTCACTTATTTTGTCATTATAATTGAGCAGAAAGATTTGTTGACACATAAATTTTACATATTATATTTATATAAAATTTTAATAATTTATCTTTTTATTTTCAAAAATTAAAATTTATCATTATTTTTTAAATAAAAAATAATTATTTTTATTAAATAAAATAAATATTAATTATTAAAAATAAAAAGATAAATAATTAAAATTTTATATAAATATAATATACAAAACTTATATGTAAATAACTTTTTATTCTATAACTAAATATATTAAAATAATTTTAATTTTAAAACGGCCAAATTTTTACATTCCATGTGAGAGGAAGAAAGACTTATTTTAGTATATATATATTTAACTAAGAGAAATATAATAATTATTTTAATAAAAACCTAAATCTTACTCGTGCATTATAGCGCCCCTATTGATCTTCTAGAAACCTCATTATTTGATTTGATAACCTATGAGAAATATTCTTGGTCGGTACTCGGTATTCGTTACTCGGTGGGGGCCGAAAGCGGCCGCCGTCACCTGAGAGGCAGTTAAAGTGCCATTAATGCATAAGCACCACCTACAAACGTGGCTACCTTCACAGTTTGTCGCCAGTCAAGCACCACTAGGGAGTTGCCAAGTGTCAAAAGCCCCAGTGTTTTGTGGCGCCGCTTGGAAATCCCATAGTTTGTTGCCACTCCATATTACATCATCATGATGACACTGGACCCAATGACATCCGCCGCGTGGACCTCATTTCCACGTGGCACTTGTGTCTTTGACCTTTGACCTTTGACCTTGAAGAATACTACTACTTTTTTTTGTTTTTGTTTGAAGAAGACTAGTGTACTTATACCATTGATCTCAAAGAAGCGGGTCAAATGAAGGTTCAGATTAAATATGTTACTCTACCAACTCTATTATTCCCTTGAAAGTTGAAAGCCTTCTACGCGTTTCAACAATACTCAAGGTTTTTCGGTAAAAAAACAAAATCAAACATTCACATAAGATACGAAAACGTTTGTCTAATTTTATATTGATTAAATTTAAAAGAAAAAAAATAATATTTATTCATCTTATTTTTTGAAAATTTAGAGAAAAATTATCTTAAAATTTTATTATTTTAATAAATTTTTATTAAAAAATATTAAAATATTTTATTTTTAAAATATGAATTAAAGTATTTTTTGTCATTTCTTATAATATTTTATTAAAACTATGTAATTTTATAATAAAATTTTCCCTAATCTTTAAGAGATTAGATAAATAAGTACTAAAAAATATATTTTTTAAGTTGATCTCTAAAAAAAGAGTACAAAAATATTATAAATTTATTTAAACATTTTTAATAAATTATTCTTATGTTTTAATTTATTAAGAGTATTTAACTGATTTCATAAGTATTTTTGTATTTTTTTCTTGCAATTCAACTTAAAAATTAGGACTCCTTTAAATATTTTTTTCGTTTTTATTGAAAACTATATCTGTTAAATTGAATAAACACCTCTAAATTTTTATAGAATTAGATTAAGCATTAGATTTTTTTTTTCTTCCTAAAAAATCTACATAGTAAAATGAAGCAAAGAAAATGTAAGACAATATTATAATAAGATAGGTCGTATATATCTTAATTACCTTTTTCAATCCGGGAAGCTTGGTGAAATCAATAGTTTTATCTGGGATCACTTCATGAATCTCCTCCCTCAGCTGTTCTTGCCATTCCGGGTGCAATGCCAAAAGCAGCAATGTCCATGTGAGGGCCAATGCTGTCGTTTCATGTCCTCCAAAAAAGAAAGTCTTGCACTCATCCACCAGCTCCCTAGTTGTCAAGCTCTTTCCCTTCCGGCCATCCAACCGACTTTCCTCCATCAGCAACCCCAGCAAATCCTTCTGGGGAGCAGAATCAGTGACCATTGAATCTTTACGAGCTGATATGATCGATAAGAGGAGGTCGTCAATCTCCTCCCCAAGCTTCTTCGCCTTTAGGTTTTGTTTAGGGGACATGAATTTGCTGAATGGGACACCGACGTATCGGTTGGAATTGAAGAGTGTGATCTGCATCTCTCTTAGTTTTTTAAACACTTTTCGGCCTTTTTGGTTGCCTAGGCCAAAGCTAGTCTTTGCAATGATCTCACCGGCAGTTTCTATAATTTCTCTCTCCACATCAATCTCAGGGTTGCCGGTATTTATCATTGCCATCCACCCGTCCAGCATCTTTGTGGCTGGTTCCATCATTAAATCCACCATAGCCTAAACAACAAGAGTTGCGGACACAATTTAGTTCCACTAAAAAACAAGTATATAGGAAAAACCTTAATTTTAAGTAATTTAGTGGTAATTTTTTTTTGTTAGAAGTAAAATGTTCTGAATTCGAGTTACATAATATATGAGTAAGATGAGGTAAGAGATGAGAGAGAATTACCTTTCATTCCATCGTGTAATTAAGATATAAAAAAAAAATCTTTAGGTTTATTTCTTGGATTAAAGTCATTAAATCTTGAAAAATGGATGTTAACTCCATTTGCAGTGGCCCAAAATGTTGAATTTTCTTTCTTATTACCATAGTCCAGGTTGATGGTTTATGACTAACAAAAAGCTGTTACTTTTTGAAAATGATTAATTTAATTATCAATATAAAGAATGTTTGATCATTTCTTACCGAGTGAATTGTATTCATGGGACAAATTTTTTCCATGGAAAGTAATAAGAATATATTTGCTGTGCACTTTCCAAAGGAAATTATTATTTGTCCTAAAATTCAAAACACGATATCGACCTACTTTACAAAATTGTTACTTAGTGTTTAGTCGATTAAATAAACCTACTACTCTTATGAAGTTTATGCTTTTGGATTTCAAGTCCAAAAGGCATAATCTTGAAAAAGTGAGGGTTTAGTCGATTAAACTCATAGCAATGGTATCCTAGGCGGGCAGACAGCACTTTCCGGGTGGCCAGAAAGATGCTTACTGTGAACACAACCATAAGAGATTATATATTATAGAAAAAGAAGAAAACCTTGAGGTTGGCCGGAGAGAATGCGGGAGTGATAACATGGCGGTGACGAACCCATTCATCACCCTCAACCATGACCAATCCATTTCCAAACATGGGCTGTCTGTCATCCCTAAAAACAGTCGGCTTTCCCCAGCTCTTCCCCTGCACTCCCGTCGACATTTTCTTCAGAAACTCTGGGTCTGCAATATACAAAAACGGCTCTGTCCCCAACCAGTAAATGAAAACTTTCCCTGCAACATAAACACGTATATCAATTTTTTTTAAAAATGTTGACAAATGTTATATTGCTTAAGCAAATTAGGGTTTTTTCCTACAGTGGAAAAATCAGAAGGCTTACCATGAGATTTTTGCCATCGAGCAAAGTAAGGGAACACGGTGGAGTGTATATCATGGGAAATTATAGTATTATGGGTGGAATCAAAGGAAGAAACATCTTCCTTTTTCTTCGTCATCTCCTCAATATTCCCTAGAGGGAATCTGGGAGATGGACCTCTGAATCCACCCCTCTGGAGCTTACGATAAGCTTGAAGGGGAGAAACCCAGAACAAAACTAGTGCTCTCAGGGACAAAATCAGAAGAAAAGCCGCAAGGATCGAATTGAAAGCTTGAGAAAGGCTAAAGAATGCCATCTTTAGTTCTCTCTCCAACTGCAGTATATGTTATAATGCTTTATGTTGGTGTGTGTGACCTGATCAATGGGAGAGTGATGTGGGGGTATTTATAGATGGATCGAGATGGGGTTCAACAAATGTCGGAGTTTTGACTGCACCTATTATGGGTTTGAAACGTATTTTGAAGGTCGGAAATTTTTTATAGGAAAAAAAAAGAAAAGAAAATGGAAATATGACAACCAAAAAAGTACTAGTGTTAGACAAACATAAGATGTTAACACTTTGAATAAATGGGGGCAGCCGGTTATATCCGGCGTTCCCTCCACCTCAAAGTCTACTTTCACGATTTAGTGCACTTTAGGTGTTAAAGGAGAAAATTTTTAGATAAAACTAAAAAGGAAATATTTACTGCTTTAATGATAACAAATATCCTTGCATGCTTTTAGAATATGATAAAGAATATCCAAAATTAGTTTTAATGGTAGCAAATATCTCTGAACATATTAAAATTTGACAACTAATGTTCTTCTGTCAAGTCCCTTAGCTAGGATTCAAACAGACTCTAAAAGAAAATTCAAACAGCAAGTGGGATTCAACAGTTCATTACTCGTACGATCAAAAAAAAAAAAACAAAAGAAGAAAAAATTATGTTTACAAAATATTTAGTATATAATATGAGATTAGAACATATCAGTGCTGTTTTTTTAAAAAAGTTAGAGTTTCAATTTATATTTAGAAATTAAAATTTTAATTCAAAATTTGAAAATTCATCATATTAAATGTTGATATATATATTTGAAAACCGAGTATATTTTCTAATATAATTAGTTTCTAAATCTAAATATCAATATTTAATATGATAGATTTTAAAATTTTGAATTAAATTTTAATTAAATAAAACAACATGATTTAAGATTAGAATTTCAATTATTTTGATATGCACTTTTTTCATATAATATTATGCACAACCAAATATTTTAAATATTTATTTATGAAGTTAATGTGTATCAGTCTTAAATTAAAAAAAAAAAAAATTGAAGTCCCAACCCATATGTAGATTTTGAAAACTAATTATATATTTTAATATAATTAATTTTTAAATCTAAATATTAACACTTAATAATATAGATTTATAAATTTTGAATTAAATTTTAATTAAATAAAATGACATAGTTTAATGTTGAAATTTCAATTTATTTTGAGAATTAAGATTGATATGCACTTTTTATTTATTTATTTAATAACATATTATGTTATAAGTAAGTGTCATCAATCAATTTTTACAGTTAAAATTAAATTCTTATATGAAAATGGAAAGATGGTTCATGCTTTCTATTAGAACTTAAAAATTTTTAAAGTTAAAATTTGACAAAAAACAGAGGTTAGGCCTTCTGTTATCATAAATTTTAATAGAGTTGAATGGAAGGGTGTTTTTTATTTTTATTTTTGTTTTATTTTTTAAAAAGATGAAGGATATTTATTGCCATCAAAATTTATTTAAGACATTTCTTGTCATTTTTTTTTTCTCTTCTTACTCATATATAAAATTATTTTCTTATATGTTTAAAGATTTTTGTTGTCAATAAATCAATATATATTTCCTTTTTATTCATTAAAAAATAAATAAACGTTTCCTTTTTAGTCGTCAAATGGTATTTGCTTTTAGTTTTCCATTTTTTTTTTATAAATTTTGTGCATGTTTGATTTTGCTTCGTGGGGGAAAGGTTGACGGGATACAGATCAGATGTGAAGCTGTCGTCCATCGGATGTTGACACGCTGGATTTATTTTACGCGTGTTCATCGACCTTGTACACCACCTCACGTGGAATACGAGTTGCCACGTGAATGACGCCCTCACAGTTGTCCGTTCCCATTTTTCCATTTCCTGTCTGACATTTTTGTAAAAATTAGAGTGTGTTGTGCTGTCTCGACAGACTGTAAAACATAAGTTGTTAAAACGAAAGACACGATCTCGATACTATTTATATTACGGTTGATAGAATGTTCACATGTAATTATATAAATGACAATTGATATTTTATTTTTTTATATGTCTTTTGCTTAATAAATTTATTTGGTAAAACAATTTTAATTATAATTCATATATTATAAAAAAAAAACTTAAAAACATGACTAAAAATGTTCGAAGGACTTATAGTTTGAATCAAATAGAGTAGGTAATTTTTGTTGAATTCAAGATTCCGTGGGTGATGTTCTCACTACGACCGTGGCTTTTAATTGTCACTTGGCCGGTAACTCGCAGAAGGTATCGATATGCTAGGGTTTGCTTGGTATATTAATTAAATATGTAATAAATATATATTTTAGATTTTAATTTATATAGAAAATTAAAAATTAACATTAATTTTAGTATTATATTATGTGGATGTTTTTATTAGACAATTGATAATTAATATCAATTTTCATTTTTTTTATGTATATTAATGATAAAAGATACAATAACATACCTTTAAGGCACATAAATTAAAAAGATTATACTCCGTCTATTTTAAAATATAAGGTGTTTAACTTTTTTATATTTAATTTTAAGTAATATTCTTTTATAGTATATGAATAATAATTGAGATTTATTTTTTTTCTATACATAGTTTTTATTGAGTAGTTACTAATTTTATTTGATTAGAAAATTTAATTATCATTCTTATATCATAAAAAACACAACTTAAAAATATTTATAAAAAAATCAAACGACTTATATCTTGAAATGAAGGAAGTTCTATAAAAAAAGTAATATTTAAAGAGTTATTCTAAACATATTGAAAATACAAATTTCAATCCCTTGAATGCTATCTTAATGCAAATAATTTTAATAAATTACGCTCATCACTTTAAAAGTGAAGCTTTCTTTGATACTTGTAAAGAAGGCAATTAGCAAGGATCATTCATAGAATTAATTAGGCCGAAGGCCTAGATAAATGTTATACATAAAATGTAATATTTTTTTTTTAAAAAAACTACAACAATAAGAGTAGATTGATTTTAACCTTTTTTATTTACTAATAAAACGCTATACAACATCTACAAAAATAACAAAATTTTATTTTTGTAAATAAGGCGTAGCACATTATAAAACACAAATAAAGATAAAAAAAATTATTGAACTTTTAAACGAGATATTACCATTCTCTTATAATTTTTATAAGAGACATTATAATTTTGTACTAGACGCCACCTTTCAAATGAGTTGGTTAAATTTTAATTTTGGCCTTCAACTTTAAAATTTTGTATAGTTTTCGTTTCTTAACTTTATATATATATATATTAGTTTATCAACTATGAATGTATTTTTTTATTCCTTCTATTAATTAATCCATTAAACTTGTTTAAATATGTATATTTTTTAGTACTTTAACTTTTAAGTTAAGAGATAAAAAATATACAAATATTAAAGTTAAAGAACTAAAATGTATATATAAATAAATTTAATGGATTAATTGATAAAAAAACTAAAAACGTATATTTTTTAAAGTTAAGAAAAAAAATAAAGAACAAAAATAATATAAAACCTTAAAATGAAAAGATTAAAATTGATATTTAAATTAATTCCAATAAATTATTATAATATATTACTATACACGTTTCTGGCATACATGGCGTGTTCTTCCGTTGCTATTTTCTCTTTTAATTTATTCAAAACAATAAATAGCTAATCACATTAATTTTTGTCGGATGATCAGCTGAAAGGTGCGTTCTAAAGTCAAATAACTGCCTTTACCCTACAACCCTTTTATATTGACACACCTAATACAAACAATTAGAACGCACTGTTAGGCAAAAGTCTGTAACCCGAACACTCGGCATAGCCTTCACCATGTCTTATCCATTCTCCACACAACACCAACAACTAAACAGTTTGCTCAATTGTTGCATCTAAATTAGACATAATGTTTGACATTTTAAAAAAGGAAGTGATCGACCTATATGTCATGCCATGCGTCTCCCTCATTAATAATTATAAGATATATATAATATATATAAGATAATTAAATTATTTAATTATTAAAAAAATCATTTTTTATTTGATTAGTTAAAATTTAATTTTTAAAAAAGATTAATAAAAAAAATTAATTTTTTTATAAATTCTTTAATATTAATGTGAATAATTTATCTTTAATTAAATTAAAAAAAGAATTTCAAAATATATGTAAACAAGTGTGAAAATATCTTTAATTGCTAAAAAAAATAATACTGATTGTTAGATAGTCAGGCGAAGTTGACTAATTAGATCAGTTAAATCAATGACTAGTGATAAAAATAGTTTGACAAAATAGATCAATAGGGCTATTAAATGGATCAGAATCGACAGATGATTTTTTTATTTATTGAAAATAGAGAAATATATTAAGTATTAAGAAATTACAGCAGAATCTCCATCTCATGGCATATAATCAAAATTAGAATAACTTAGGGTTAAATAGGGCTACTAATGTAGTAAGGAGAGTCATTGTGAGTATTAAGAACTGTTGGATATTATCACTTATTTAATCAGTTTCTTGGGAAGAGCAAGGTATTTTGGCATCAAACATTTCCCAACCCATAGGTTGTTGTCCTACTTGTTCTTAAAGAAGAACAACCAAGAGGGGTATAGACCTTCTCCTGACAAGAACAAGGCCCCCCACTTGCGTCCATATACTCCCAATCATGTTCCCATTTTTGCCGATTCTCTTCAAACTCATATTGTTGAAACTCATTAAGGGAACTAGATCCCCATCGTTGGCTTAAAAATCAGGCTTCTCATGCTAACCATAGTTGGCCTTACTAACAGCATCATTTTCCTTTAGCAATCTGTTAGCTAATCGAGAATTGGTGTGAACCAAATTTGTTGAATTTGACCCCGCCAAGATCCCATCCAAGGAGATGCACCAAAGCGAGATTATTGCCCGTTAAATAGGAGAAACCCACTTCACCAATAAGATCAATTCCAATCACAGCTTTCAAAAATCAATAAATGTAAACCCTAGAAAACCTAAAAAGTCATTGCCTTGTGGTCCCTTGGGTTAGAGTTTCCAAAGCAAGATAGCGATAAGATGAAGGAAGAGATCAAGAGGAGGAAGGGA